CTGGGAGGAGCTGGGTATGGCAGTACACACCTGTATCCCAGTGCTTGAGAGACTGAAGCAGGACCACCCTGAGCTACATTGTGAGACTCTCTGGAAAATCAAACAACAGTAAGTGTGGGGGGATTGATCCCTATATTTGGGTGCTATCCCCGCTTGACTGACTTCAGTAACTGAATGTCACTTTTCTCCAAGGCCGTAGAAGGAGGGGTGGATGGTGACAGTAACATTTATCAAGCCCCCTTTCATTGACAGCCATCGTTCTATGAACTTTCCAATACTTACTTAACTGTCATCAGAAACCTAAGCGCTCTTCCCATTTCAGAAGCAGGGGGGAAGTCACGGCTGGCAAGAGTGCCCGAGGCTTAGGGAACTTGGAAGTCACGCCCAGGGTTTGAGTCAGGGCTGCCCGTCTCTGGCACTCCCTCCCTTGGTTGCCCATTGTCAGTGTCTCTGTTTTGTTTTATCAGCATCCTTTGCATGTCTGCTAATTATATCTTTTTTTTCCTTCAGTCTCTGGTATTGGTCTGAAGCTGGCTTTGGGGATATAGTTTAGTACTGATGGTGATGAGGATGACCACAGATGGCTAGCATGTCCCTTCCTTGTTACCTTCCCCCCTCTACATCCCCAGACTCATACATTTGTGTGGCAGTGTTCTTCCTGTCAATAGAATTTAATTTTGTCCCCCCCCCCTTTTCTCTTCTCCCCCATCCTCCAGTGAGTGACTGGCCATGGTCAGTGTCTAGGGTGACCCGTGTTGTCCCCCACCCCCCGTGGAGCCGGCTGAAGGGGGCAGCTCTGAGGGTCTGTGACCCTGCTCTCTTTTCCTCCAGTCCCACACCAGCTCGGAAGCACCATGTGAACCACCCCCAGACAGCAGGCTCCTCACAGGTGTCACTCCTGGACGTGTCCCCTTCTGTCCCCATCCCTCGTCTTGTCCTCAGTTGTGGGAGATATACTGCGATCAGTGTTTATGCTACCTTGTTGAGCGCTAGCGTATATGCCCTGAAACTCCATTCGGATCATCCATCCCAGACAGGCAGCCCCTGAACGGGCTGGTTGGGAAGCTGGGTGGCCCATTAGGACCTGAAGTGGAGCCAGAAGCCACTTTACAGCCCACTTTCATGGAGTAGTATGGGGCTCCTAACGAGGCTAGGGACTGGTCTCCTGCTCTTTGCCTATTTTCCCTTGGAGAGGCAACCAGCCTGGGGAGCTGTATGAAATGCTCTCTGATAGCCAGTGACTCAGGGGTTTGGCATTCTCGAAATGGCCTGGAGGCAGCTTTCCTACCCTGCTCTTAAAATAACCAGGTTTGGTGAGAGCCTCAGAGAGCACTCCACATATTTCTTTTTTTCTTTTTCTTTTTTTCTTCTTATTTTACATATGGGTCCCATTTCCCTCTCCCTCCCTCCCTTCTTCCCATGCCCCCCACCACCACCCTGCCAGTCCCCCCCCCCCCACCTCCACAGGGAGGGTGATGCCTTCCAGGAGGGAATCAACAAAATCTGTCAAGTCATTTGGAGTAGGGACTAGGCCCTCCCTCCTGCCTCTAGGCAAAGGGAGTATCCCTCCATGGGGAATGTGCTCCCAAAGTCCTTTTCTGCACCAGGGATACATCCTGGTTCCACTATCAGAGGTCCCTGAGACTGCCCAGGCCTTCTAACTGAGATTCATGTTCAGGGGATCTGAGTCAGTCCCATGCTGGTTTCCCAGTCTGGGGATCCATTAGCTCCCCCTTGTTCGGGACATCTGTCTTTGTGGGTTTCTGTAGCCTGGTCTTGTCCCCATTTTCTTATCACTCTTCCCTCTCTGCATCTGGATTCCAGTTCGGCTCAGTGTTTAGCTGTGGGTTTTGCTTCTGTTTCCATCAGCTACTAGATGAGGGCTTTAGGGTGGTGGATAAGTTAGTCACCAATCTCACTATCAGGGAAGGGCATTTAAGGTAGCCTTTCCACTGTTGCTCAGATTGTTAGTTGGGGTCAGTCTTGTAGGTCTCTGGACATTTCTCTAGAGTCAGTTTTCTCTTGAAACCTATGCTGACTCCTTCTTTTATGTTCTCTCTCTCTCTCTCTCTCTCTCTCTCTCTCTCTCTCTCTCTCTCTCTCTTTCCCCCCTCTCATCTATTCCTCCCCTGACTCAATCTTCCTAGTCCCACGTGCTTTCCTCTCCTCCCCCTCTCTTTCTCCTAGCTCCCTCTCCACTCACTGCCTCCTCCCCCACAATATGCTCAGGAGCTCTTGTTCCTTTCCCCTTCTGTGAGGGACCTTGTATGGATGGATCTCTTAGGTTCCTCCTTGTATCCTAGTTTCTTTGGTGGTGTGAATTATAGGCTGGTGATCCTTTGCTCCATGTCTAAAACCCATATATGAGTGAGTACATACCATGTTCCTTTTTTTTTTTTTGTGACTGGGTTACCTCATTCAGGATGGTTTCTTCAAGTTCCATCCATTTGCCTGCAAATTTCAAGATTCCATTGGAAAAAACAATCAAACAACAAAAAACAAAACAAAACAAAAACCAATGTAATCCACGTATTTCTTAAAGTTGTCCAAGTCTTTCCCTTCGGCTGCTCTTTGAAGGGGTCACAGGAAATTCCCCTAGCACGGTAGTCTCTGACTTTGCCATATTAGTCCCCAGTCAGGGTTCCGCGCTGTCACAAGTGCTCCAGTGGTAAAAACTGAGAACCTAGGACCCAGCCATCCATCCCAAGCTCTGTATTGGGTACAAGGTGACATGTACCCCTGCCCTCTAGGATCCAGCCAGTGACTGGGGTACAGATGAAGGACTTATAAAGGAGAAGACAATTGGGAGAAGCCAGGATGAAATTACCGAGAGGCTGAATTTGCTTTTATGAGTGTGATATAGAGAGAGGGTCTTTATAGACAGAGGACATAATTTAAGGTTTCTGGCATTTCCTTGTAATGTCACCATCCCTGTCTCATAGGGAAGCCTAGCAAATGGAAGATAGGGGTCTGGGTTCGAGTTCTGTCTTTGGGTGTTGTGTGGGCCCTTGAAGAGACTGTTTTTCTCAGAGAGGGAACCAGGCAAGGCCTAGTGCCCTAGGGCATCAGAGACACATGGGTAAATGGGTATGGGAGGCGAACTGTTGTGTTCTGTGCTGGCCTGGCTTCGGGAAAGCTGAGTAAGGCATTGGATTTCCCCTGGAGAGGTGACAGAGCCATTATGGATATTGAGGGGTGGGGAAAGGCTTAGTTTTTCCCAGTCATTGGTCCCCTGGGCCCATCAGCAATATTTTCTCCTGATCTGAACTCCAGAAGGCTTCTTCTGACCTGAGTCTGGCTGGCAGCCTGGGGTCTACGTCTGGCCCTGTAGCCTGTGAAGTTTGTATGGTGTAAGCTTGGCCTTGTCTCCAGACCCTGCTGTGGGAATGCCGCTCTGCCGCCATAACCCCAGGATATAGACCCTGAAAGTCTGATTTTGCCCCTGAACATTCCTCTTATTATACAGACCTCAGAGTTTTTTTTGATGATGGAAGCTGTTTGTGTTCCTGGAAGCTAAACTGCTTGGTCATGAGGGTGGGGATTAATGGATTGGTGTCCTGTTTCCTGGCCTTCATCCTGAGTGGAGGAGCTGCAGCTCTGCCCTTAGTGTTCTTGGCGTGTCTACTTCAGGGTTGTTTCCGTGGTCAACCCACCCCTGTGTACCTCAGGCAAACCCCTTGTGTGCCGCCAGAGGGTCCTCATTGCTGTTGTGGGGACAGTCATGTTTAACTCAGTAGATGTGAACCTTGGTGTAGTTTCCTCTACTCCAAGGCCAGCTGGGATCTGGGCTCTCTGCTCTGTTTCCCGGCATGTTTCCATGTGGGGCGTGCTTCTCTTCAGCCTTTGCCATCCTGGGTTACTCACTTCACATGTTGCTGTAGAAACCACACGACTGCTGCATCTGCAGCTCCTAGCAGTCCTGGAGGTCTTTGGAAGTGATCGGCTGATGGGCACCCCTCCGATAACCCTCTCTCCCAGCTCACTCCTCTATTTGGACCATGCCCTCCTCAGTGCCTCTCTAAGGTGGCAGATGCAAATGACAACTTAGTGAAGACTATAATCTTAGAAATTTGGAGCTAAACCTAGCTGAGCACTTTCCACTGTTTCCTAGTAAAGGAGGCGAAGGACAGCACTCTAGGTGAAGTGGGTGCCCATGGGGTGCTTTCCTACATGCTCACCTTCATCTCTGAGATGTCCATCCATACAGCTCTGTGGCAGAGGACTTGCCTAGCCTTGCCTAATGTGGCCTTGCACACACACACACACACACACACACACACACGGCCCTAGGTTTGATACTCAGCAGTCTAAAAAAGAAAGAAATGATAACTTCCATCAGCTTCCTGTTTACTAATAGTATCTGTTACTGCTTGCTGCTCGGCTCCTGGTCCACTCTCCATTAGTCTCCCACTTTCACGACTCCTATGTTTGTATGTGGTGTGTGTATGTGTATGCACTCAGTTGTTCAGGGGCCCTGTAAGTGGGTGAAATAGTGGCCTAGGCCTCTATATGCTGGCCAAAGAAGCTAGGTCTTGCCCTGGTCCTCTAACAAGTCTCCCCAGCTCTACTTGGTGTGTACCCCACTTTGCCTAAGACAGGAAAGATTTTCTTTTTCTTTCTTTTTTTGGGGGGTTTATGGGGGACGGCTTCCAATAAGGACTTGACTCTCCAGTACTTCTAAAGCCTGGCCCATGCAGTTTCTTCCTTCATCTGGTGTCACCTGGACATCTGTCATGTACCACAGGCTATGCTTGGTGTCACCTGGACATCTGTCATGTACCACAGGCTATGCTTGGTGTCAGGAGGATGGCAGTGGGCAGAGCAGTGTGCCGTCCTGGTACAGCCCTTACACAAGCCATATCTCTAGGCACAGGTCTTAAAATGCATGGCCCTGTAATGGTGTGGTCACTGATAAAATGCTATCCAGCATATTTCATGAAAACCATCTCTCTTTCTCTCTCATTCTATAATTAAACTATTTTTAAAAATAACTTTCGTAGAGCCTTGTTGGAAGGAGAAAGCAATCCGGAGATACTGATCTGGACTAAGAACATTGAAGACCTGCCACAAGGTAAATACTAGAGACTGTGTCTGTTAACACAGTAATGTTAAAATGCTTCTTACCTGAGCTGCCCACTCCACAGAGGAAGGAGGGTTCAACTTATCTAGAAGGAGAGGGTTTAGGAAAAGTTTCCCAGACAACAAAATAGTTCATCATATTTTTAAGTACCAAGTAGATTTTTAGTTGAAGGGGACAAACTTTAAATTATAGTGTGAATTGGGATGGTCTCGGAGGTACTGAACTTACCTGCTTGTGTAGACAATATTTTGAAGTACTTCTTAGCTGAGGAGAAGCATCTGATGCAAGGTGATGTGGGCGTGCACTTGCTCGTTATACCCTTAGGGGGCATGCTTTCTTTTTCCAGACCGAAGAGCCATGGCTATCACTAACATACAAAATTACTACTTTGGGCAGCATGCAGCCAGCACTCTGGAAACTGTGGCCCTACCAGGACAGCAATACTACCCTGCCACTTTGGTTGGAGTGCAAGCACGGAAAGTGTCCTGTCTTAGTTTGGGCCCAAAGCTTCTGTAGATCAGGGCTTTCTTTCCTACAGCAGTAGGTCTGGCACAGAGAGCTTAATATGCTCATTTGAAAGACCTTACAAATCTATAAGGTAACTTTTAAATCAATTATTTAAGCCTGCTGAATAGTAAAAGAGACTCATGGCTCAGCAGTGGCAGGTTAAAAGACATCCAGAATGCTTAGCGTAAAGTGTTCCTTGGTGTCCAGGGGACACTATCTCCAGGCCATCTATTCATAACCAAGTCTGCAGATGTTCAAGTTCCTTGTCTAAAATGTTATAGGATTTGTACGTCCTCCTACAGACTTCAGATCATCTCCAGATTACTTATGGTATATAGTACGATGTGTGTGCCATATAAATTGCTCTCACACAGTTTTCGTTAAGGGAGAATGACAAGAAAACACTCTGCATGTGTTCGGTATAGATACATTATTTGAGATAGTTTTGATCTTTAGTTAACCGCGTGTGTGAGCATAGAGCCCATAGGATGGACACCTTCAGAGCTCATCACCTACAAGGCCCTCCTTCCTCAGTGTAGTCTATGTCATCATTACTCCTGTTAGCCACGTCTCAGATTTGGCAGGTCCAGGGTTGCAGCCTCAGAACTAGAAGGGATTGTACTTAGGTAAAGCCAGCAAGCTTGGTCCCATTTTGAAAGCGAGTCTGTAAAAGAAATAACAAAGAAATCCATGCAAGTGGCCATTGACTGGCCTACCTGTCGTCAGTTAGCAACTGACTTCTAGAAAATAGGAGTCGTTCACCCACCAGATTTCAAGGTTTACTAAAACTTTAGCTTGTGGCTATGTATATCTGGAAGTCTAATACTTAATCTAAAGTTAGAAGAGAGAAATAAAGGGCCCAGAACCAAACTCCTGGGAGAACTAGCATTCTAAACATGGGACTTGTTGATATTTTACTAGCCATGCATGACTTTCAAGTAGAAAGGAAGAAAGCACGTCGGTACCTCTGCTAACTTGACATAGTCATCCACTGTTCTTCAGGCATACTTCACATGTATAGACTAAATTATCTTAATGCATAGGCATCTTGCAAAAAAAAAATGCTGTGGGACAAAGGTGCTTAGCTATGAGTTCGCCCTTATGCTCATTAGTAGTTGTGTTTCCTGCATAGTATAGCCCCTTATGAAGTATTTATGGAATAAACCTGCACATGGTTGCCTAGTGAAGTGATCAATACTTATTAGTGCACTTAGGTACCTTTTACAATGTGCCCTGCTTTATAATGTTGGCTGCTTCCTATGACACAAGAGACATAAAACTAGCCTGTGAGGTTCCCTGTCTCTTATTGACCTTGGGGGTTTGTCTTCTGGAGTTTCTAGGTTAGGATCAGCATATTAACCTGAAAAAAAAAAATCTTTGTAAACAATGTCCCAGCCTGGTGTCTTTGCCTGTAACTTGGGAATCTGTCTCAGTGAGGCCTCCAGCCTCCACTGCCATGAGGGAGGGTGCTCAGCTCTGGTGGAGTTTGTGCACCTGAAGGGTCCCACTGTCTGAAGATGATCCTGAATAAACCAGAAGCCCTAAGGCTGACTCCAGCATCTGGGGAGTTCTGATAACCTGTTTGTTTATGAAACTGTACCTTGTCAAGCATAAACATGCAGATTTTTCAAGTAGAAAATCTGAAGTCTTCAGTGCCTGTGGCCCAGCCCAGGACTGGTAGAAAAAGGGCACCCTGGGACGAAGGCTGTGCTGTGTGGCACCCGGTAACTATGCACTCTGTAACTATAGAGCTTTTCCCTGCTGAAGTCAGTACACTTGCCTCAACAAGGTCAGAATTAACGATTCTGAAATACCACAAGATTGTGACATTTTAACCTCTGACCTCTCTGGAACACTTGACACACTCTATGTTCAGATCTCTGAGGGTTCTCTTAAGCTGAGGGAGTAGTCTAAGACCAGCGGCTGGCAAAGAGAGTTAAGCAGAGCTATCTGCGGGGCAGTGTTTTATTGTGCCAGGAGTGCTAAAACAACCAAAAGATAATGTCAAGAACAAAAGCACTCTCTTGAAAGCATCTTTACTGTAATAATTATATTTTATACCAACATGGGCTTTGACCTACAGCAGTGCTTTTATGATGAAAAAAAAAAAAAAAAAGATGCCTGCCATCTAAATGAACTGTTTGTTCGATCCCTACAGAGTCCAGAAGTGCATCCTATCACTATACCAACTCAGTACTGCAGAGGAAAAATGAGAGAAATCTATTTCCAAAGCAAAAACCACTTTGGGCAGCTGAAAATCACAGCTCAGCTCTGTTTTCTAACAGGCTAGGGCACCTTGAATCACAGACAACCTCAGCTGCTGGGAGTACTGCCAGAAGGGGGCGCCTGCCCTCTGGGTGTTCTTTGTCGGCTACAGCCTTGCAGCAAAAGGCCTTTGAGAAGACTGTCAGCAACCAAGCCAGTCTCAGACCTGTCACTCCAACCCAAGACCTTCTAGGAAACACCGATGCTCAAGGGAAAACATTCCTCGATAGATCCAAGGTTGGCGGCACCAGGGACACCCCCACACGGCTGGCCACAGAGTCCATTACTGTCAGAGAGTCACACAAAGATCACCGGGGCAACGTGGCGGCAGGTGCTCAGTCCAATGAGAGAACCGTCATTTTGGGAAAGAAATTAGAAGTGCAAGCCACTAGAGAACAAGAAAGGGGAGGATCCGGGGTCACCAAATTAAAGCCAGAAGGGAAAATGTTTGATTCTAAAGAGAAGGGATCAGAGGAAAGAAACCTGAGATGGGAAGAAATGACCAGGCTAGATAAAGACGCAAGGAGAGAAAGCCAACGGAGGATGGACGAGCCCAAAGAGAAGACATCACCAAAGGAGGGAGGTGTGAAGGAAAGGGAAGTGCCCATCCATCTGCAAGTATCCCGGGGCAGCAGAACAGAAGTGTCCACAAAAGGCGTGCAGTCGCCCGGGAGGAAGGATGCTGCTGACAGTAGGGAAGAAAGAGGGGCAGAAGCAAAAGAGACCAAGTTCCGGTTGGATACCCAGGACACCGCCATCTCCCTGCACAGTGATTCTACAACGGAGACCATAGCAGACAACATCGTCACCTCCATCCTCACCCAGTTCTCTCAGTCTCCAGATGCTGAAGAGAACGCCAGCTCTTTGCCAGACACAAAGGTCACTTATGTGGATAGGAAAGAACTCCCTGGCAGAGGGAAAACCAAGACAGAAATCGTTGTGGAGTCTAAGCTGACAGAAGACATCGATGTTTCTGATGAAGCTGGCCTGGAATACCTTTTAAGCAAGGGTGTCAAGGAAGTGGGACTGAAGGGCGAGTCAGCTGAGAAGATGGTAAGTGAGATGATCAATGTCGGTCTGAGAGGAAGGGAGGGGAGAGCCAAAGTTGTAAATGTGGAGATCGTGGAAGAGCCCGTGAGCTACACAGGTGGCGGGAGAACGGAGTTTCCTACCCACTTCCACGTAGAAGAAGTCGATGACGTGTCTCCCAGCCCCAAGGGGTTTGTCGTGGAAGAGGATGGTGATGGAGAGACCCATGTGGCATTCTCGATGCATCAAGATCAAAGGACCAAGCAGCCCCAGGGGAGCATCCCTCATGTGGAAGAAGTGATGGAGGCAGGTGACTCAGAGGGTGAGCAGAGTTACTTTGTGTCTACCCCAGATGAGTACCCTGGGGGACATGACAGAGAAGATGATGGTTCAGTGTACGGGCAAATCCACATAGAGGAAGAGTCCACCATCCGGTACTCATGGCAAGATGAGATTGTGCAGGGGCCTTGGAGAAGGAAAACGGGAGACGGCTTAGGGGAAGAGAAGCACGTGAAGGTCCTCGAGATTCCAGCACCTTCCCTGGGAGGTGCCGTTGGTTCTGCTCACTTGAAGGAAGAAGCTAGTGGTGAATTGCATGCAGAACCCACGGTCATTGAGAAAGAGATCAAAATACCACATGAATTCCATACCTCCATCAGGGGTGTCTTCACCAATGAGCCCCGGCACCAGCTGGTGGAGGTCATCGGGCAGCTGGAGGAAACCTTGCCTGAGCGCATGAAGGAGGAACTGTCTGCTCTGACCAGACAGGATCAAGGAGAGCCAGGGAGTGTCTCCGTGGATGTAAAGAAGTTCCAGCCCTCTGCTAGTGGTTCAGTGACTTTGATGGCTGAAGTCAACCTCTCCCAGACCGTGGATGCTGACCAATTAGACCTGGAAGAGTTGAGCAGGGATGAAGCTGGGGAGATAGAGAGGGCTGTGGAGTCGGTGGTAAAAGACAGCTTGAGCAAGTGCTCCAGCCCGATGCCTAGAAGCCCAGACGGGGAAGATGGAGAGGAGGAGGTGCCTGCTGGGGGCATCCGCTTCAAACGCTGGGCCACCAGGCAACTGTATAGCCCATCGGGTGAGACAGATGACACTGGCTGGGCCCCTCACAGCTCAGAGCAGCGTGTTTCCCAGGGCCCAGTGTCGGCCACCGTGGAAGTCACCAGCCCGATGGGTTTTGCAGAGTCTCATGTGCTGGAGGATATAAGCCAGTCTGTGAGACATGTTAAACTAGGCCCCACTGAAATGTGGGGGACTGAGCAGGTATCCTACGGGGGACCCACCGCACAGGTGGTGGAGGTAAGTGGGGACTTGAGTGAGGCAATTAGCTCTGAGGGTGCCAGCCGCTCTGTGAGGCACATTACACTGGGTCCCCATCAAAGTCATGTGTCCACTGAAGTCACCGTCCAAGGCTCTGTGCCTGCCTGGCGGGAAGCCCGAGACACAGGAGAGTGTGGCCCAGCAGCATCATCTGCACAAGCAGACATATCCAGGAACCACAGAATGCCTGGTTCTGAGCAGTTTCATGCTGAAAAGGAAATTCACTTTCTGGGGACAGCCCAGGCTGGTAATAACTTTGCACCTGAAGAGGCAGTGGGTACCCAGACTTTTGTTAGGCATCTCCAGTTAGACCCCAAAGAAGGGTTCAGAGAAGAAATCCAGTTCATAGCTCCCATCCCAGACAAAGTGGAGTGGGGGATAGAGGAGGACTCCAATCACACCACGGTGTCTCTAGGGAGGAGTACCTCCATCCTTGTGGAGGGCTCAGCGGGTATGACACAGGCCACTCACAGTTTCACCTCAGGTAGAGAAATCATCAGGAACCAAGAACACACATTCCAGAGGGTCATTTCTGAGTCCCCTCCGGACAGTGTGGGAAACACAGGCATCAGCAGATCGTTTAGGCACATTCAGATAGGCTCTACAGAAAAGGGACCCTCTGAACACATTGTCATCCACGGACCCATATCTAAAACATTTGTACTCGATGGTTCAGTGGCCTCCCCTGAGCTAGGTGGGCCAGCTGGTGACTGCAGTACACTAAGCCACATTGCACCAGGGCCCAAAGAAACTTCATTTACTTTTCAGATGGATGTGAGTAACACAAGGGCGATCCGCAGCTGGACCCAAGATGCAGGGTCAGAAGTGGAAGCTCACAGTGTGTCTGACCATGGTGGCTGGAGAACTGCTCACAGTAGGGATGAGCAGGCAGTCAGCTTGAGCTCTCAGGCCTCCGCTGGGGATGGACACCAGAGCCGTGGAGAGGAAGGCATGGAGCAGGCTGGATTTGACAAGACCGTGCAGCTGCAGAGAATGGTAGACCAGAGGCCGGTGGCTTCAGATGAGAAGAAAGTGGCCCTTGTCTATCTAGACAATGAGGAGGAGGAGGACGATGGATGGTTTTGATAAGCGGAGCTATCTCATCTTAAATGCACTTTTGGAAAACATGTTAATATACAAAGCCTTTAACATACCAATATACAAAGCCTCTACTAATCGCATGGAGGAGAGGGAGGCTGGTTATTAGTACCTTTATTTAGAGAACCCTAGGTGGAGTCAGTTTGCTTTAGAATTCACTTGTAAAGGTTTTCGATTGGCTGTGGCCTTTTAAGGCTTTGGGATTTTTGCATTTGAGTTGGGACTTTTGCAGACACTTTTCATCTTTTTAGTCTTAAAAGGTCCATTTCTCTAAAGCTTTCTCTCCACACGTGGAGAGAGTTTGTACCAGTTTTGCACCAGGTCACAGGCGTGGCTTATTGCTCTTCTACTATTTATCTATAAGCAAGACACCTTAATATAAACATTAATCAGGTTAAAATAACATACTTAAGGGTAGGTTTAGTTTGCATGTGCTAATATCAAATAGTAAACTAACACTGTAAAGGAAAATACGTGGATTTTTCTCTTTCCTAAGTCTTTTCAAAAAGAAATTATAGAAGGGCTGGGGAGATGGTTCAGTGGTTAAGAGACTATACTGCTCTTGCATAGGACCTGACTGAGTTCAGTCCCCAGCACCCACATCAAGTGGCTTACAACCACCTGTAACTCCTGCTCCAGGGGATCTGATGTCCTTTCTGGCCTCTGCCGGCACCTGCACTCATACCTACACACACACACACACACACACACACACACACACACACACACACACAGAGGAACAGAAATAAATCTTAGCTGAACAGGGCAGTGGTGGCACATGCCTTTAATCCCAACACTCAGGAGACAGAAGCAGACAGATCTCTGTGAGTTTGAGGGCAGCCTGGTCTACAGAGTGAGTTCCAAGACAGCCAGGGCTACACAGAGAAACTCTGTTTCCAAAAACCAAAAAGGAAAAAAAATATAGAAAGTAAGCAAGACTGTATGTTTGAAAAAAATCTACTAGATGATTTAAAAAAAAAAGTTACTTATAAAAGATTTAAAAATCTTTTGAATCGGTTGAATAAATTGCTTTCTATGTACAGAACTTTTAAAAACAGCCTACAGTTATTCATGGAAAGCACAGCTGTGGTCTTGTTGATGCTTCAGATACATATGACTGTCCTGATGGTACAGATTTGCCAGCATGGCGACAGGCATGGCCAACTGAGGACGAAAGGTGCACATGGATCATTTTGGGTCACTGCAGTACTAGGCTGTGAGACAGCAGAACACCTTTTGTCCTGATGTAAGCCCCGAAGTAGCTCCCTGCTACTAGAGCAGCAGTTCTCAACATGGGGGTTGAATGACCCTTTCACAGGGGTTGCCAAAGACCATTGGAAAACATGGATACTTATGATTCATAATAGTAGCAAAACTACAGTTATGATGTAGCAACTAAAATAGTGTTGTGATTGGGGTCAGCACATCATGAGGAACTGTATTAAAGGGTTGCAGCATTAGGAAGGTTGAGAACCACTGGGCTAGGGACTGTGTTCTGAGCCTCTCTGTGCTGTAACCCTCTTGACCAGAACATTTGCTCTCATGGGTAAGAGGCAACTGTGTAGAAGTGGATGTTTAGACTGCAGCTGGCAAATTGGCCCTGGCAGGAACACAGAAGCACAAAGTAGCTAGTGCTTCCCAAATAAGTCACTCTAAAGTTACTTCTCCTGGGCGGGAGGTCTTTCTGAGCTCCTAGAATGAAGGATAAAAGAAAGAGCAGCAGCCATATACAAACATCAGAAAAGCTCTTTGCAGCTTGAACAGAAATTATGGGGGTGGAGGGATTTAAGCATTTAGGGGAAGGAACCAGGAGTATCCCATGCAACCCAGCATTGAGGCATCCAGGGCAGGCTCTATCAGATGACAAAGGCCACATGGTCACAGATCTGAGTGTTCATTTAGAATTGTTCTTTTACACATGGTTATTGTTTTTAAAACTCCCACGGCTGAAGGTTCAGCATCATATAAAAATGGCCTCTACAGTGCACCGTTCTGTGAGCGCAGAATAGCAGCTCTGCTATGGCTGAGCTGTGCTTTTGAACCCAGACCACAGACCTGCTTATGGGGCACTGTTGAAGAAGGATCCGAGGTGATGCCATCTTCAAGGACGGGAGGAGTGTGGTATAGGAGGGCCTCCTTCCCAGGGTGTCTCACAGGACACATCTCTCCCTGTGATCCAGCAGCTGGGAAAAGGAGAGTGAGGTTGTTTGTTTGTTTGTTTGTTTTTCATTGCTAAGTGGAAGAGAAGTGCAGCATGGCTTAAGATGCTTTTCAAACACCTTGCATCAGGCAGGGTAGAGGAAGGAAGCAGATTTGAATGGAAGGTTGAAGCCTTTGTTACCCATAAAGATGAGCTCATGGTCATGAGCCTGATACAGAAGTTCCTGTCTTGGCCTGCCATTTCTAATACAGTCAGAGATGTGTTTTTACTGTAATCAGCAAGTCTGAGTGATTCATTAGAATGTGGTCCAGGTGACATGAGATGGGCTTAGCTGGATGCTATTGTCTTAGTCCATGAACTTATACATGGATGCTGGTATGAGCAAGTTATAAATATAATGGCCCCTTCTACTGGTTTTGAAAAAAAAAATAAACGTCTTAGCATTAAATATTAATGTTCATTAAGTTGGAATGCGCAGCAAGGCAATGTTCTGTTTGAAGTATTTACCAGGAGGGAGGAGTCCTTAGCTGTCATTGGTTACTAGGTCTCCAGGTCACTAAGGGAAGGGCTCTTAGCCTTGACATTGTAGCAGATTACCCCAAAGCTCCCTGAGGCTTTTGAAGCCAGTCCCTCTGGAGTCAGTCAACACTGTGATGGGGCAGGGAGGGTGGGGACACACCCAGTCTCTCCCAGTCTGTTATTGTTGAGACTGCAAGACACTGACTGTCTCTCAGCTTTCCAGTGGTTGTTTTGATAGCTTGTTTAAAGTGTTTATTTAGAATTATCTAAGAAGCTTATTTCGCTAACCTCCTGTTCCCTACAAAGGGAACTGTCACAAGAATGTGTAGAAATAAAGATCTGAGAGGGAAAAAAACCTGCATTGTTCCTAAAGAGAATGCTTTCCTGTGGTTCCTTCAGACTCTAAAGAAAGCCAGCCTGGGTTTCTGTCCATGTTCCAATGGAAATCCTGAGTTATTAGAAAGGTCACATATGCACATTTCCAGTTCTGCAATTCCTCCTGAGATGAGAACCCTGTACTATAGGCACAAACTAGAAACCTTACACTAACTGGCTTGTATCCAAGTAGAGACATGACAGTTGGTGCCAAACCGTTAACACAGCTTGGAAGATGGTGCCAGCAGGGTGAGACAGCCATCCGTTCTGCCCAGGATGGAGGAGGGTGCCAAGGTACAGTTACTCAGTGCTAAAACCAGCGTTGTCTCAGGTGGGAACCGAACAGGTGGCCACTCAAAACGTTTCTTCAGGTTGCTCATGGGCATTTCTCAGTATTTTGCAGGAAAAAAAAATCTAGTATCTTAAAACAAAGGAGTGGGTGACTGTTGTCAGTCTGTAATCTATGCTTTCATCAACAAAAATAAAAACACAAATAGTTGTATTTCTTCTCACTTGTGGGAGCTAATGTCACTGGTGAGATAAGAGTCACTGTATTAGTTACTTTTTTGTTGCTGCGATAAGAAAACAAAACAAAACAAGTGACCCAAAGCAACCAGAGGAGGAAAAGATTTATTTGACTTCCATGCATAGGTCATAGTCCATCATTGAGGGATGCCAAGGCAGGAACTCTCGCAGCTCAGGAACCTGGAGGCAGGAACTGAAGGAAAGACTGTGGAAGAATGCTATTTACTGGCTTGCAGTCCGTGGCTGCTCAGCCTGCTTTCTTATAAGACCTTGGACTACCTGCCCAGGGCTGGCACCACCCACATCCACTATTAATCAAGGAAATCCCCCATAGACATGCCTTCAGATTAACCCATGCAGGCATTTTCTCAACTGGGATTCCCTCTTCCATATGACCACACACACACACACACACACACACACACACACACACACACACACACACTTATGCCAAATTGACAAAAAAGAAAAAGAAAAAGTAACCAGTACCCTCACTGTTTACACTGGTAAACTCACTCTTCCTGAGGCAAGAGCTCATATTTAAAGAGGGGTTTGTTGTCTGTGATTCTAAAATATATCTCAAGAAATTCAGAAAGGACCAAGTTACAGATCAGAGTCCAGCATTCAGCAACACATGTTTATTCCCGAGTTCTGGAGGTCTGAGAATACATGTCAAGGATGCTAACGGATTTGCTTCTGGTAGGTAAGTGCTCTCTTCCTGTCTTGTAGACCACCACCTTATAGATGTTTTCATGGAGTAGGGAGAGTGATGGCTTCTCTTGAGTCTCTGCTTTGGAAGGGTATTGGTCCTACCTTCTAGAACCCCCCCCCCTCCGCCACAGACTATTTTTAGATGTCACTACTGGAAGGCTAAGGCTTCAGACATCAAATTTCAGGAACAAGGAAGCCCATGGCAGCCTGTTTTTAACATGCCTTTCTCACTAGCTGTGTTGAAACACACGTCTTCAGTTAGATAGGACTTTATTCAGTGGCCACAAATAGTTTTGTGCCTTGCTGCCATCCCATAGGCCTGAGACTGGGAGAATAGGCATTAGTTAGCAAGGATGGCCTGTCTGCCTGCCACACTGCTGAGGAAGACAAAGGGCCCTGCCTCGACCCTGCCATGGCTGTTTTCCCCTTCAGTTCTCAAAGTCATTCTGAACAAATTGACAACGAAAGTGTTGTGCTCCAATCCTATTGCCCTCTTAGCAACGGCCTGAAGCCTCACTGGCCTAAGCCATGGTATAAGAGAAAGGGGGGAAGAAAGGACAACCCTGCCTGGACCATCACCCCACCCTGTGAGTATTCTACTGACTTTGTCCCCAGCACTCATCTCTCTACAGCCAGGAGAAAGAGGCTCACCCAACTGTAGTGTCTACTGGGGGGAATGAAGGCCACTGTGGGCAAGGCTCTAGTAGCAGCTGCATGTCCTGCCTAGAGTAGTGACCACAGGAGACAAGGAAGCAGAGTGTCGGTGTTCCTCCAAGTCACTCAGTAAGTGCCTCAGCACCAACACCCAGACCCCTGAACTTCTGTCACAACCACTACAATGTATCTAGCGACACACTGGGTTACAAGCTCAAGAGTATGTGTCCTGTTCACTGTTTTAGCCTCACTTTTCCACACAGGCCTAATAATATTCTAGGTGCTCAGAAAAATGTAACTGAATCCATTAACAGAGAGATGCACTTTCACCAGCATGCCTTTTCAGGCAGCAGGTGACTCTTAGAATTGTCTTCATTTTATTTGCTTGTGGTTTGAAGGTTTAAGTGGAGGGCCTTGTGTTAGTTGCTTTTTTCATTGCTGTGATCAAATACCTGACAAGAGAAAAGACGGGCTTGTCTTGGCTTACAGTTTGAGGGGATACAGGCCATCATGGCCGTGAAGGCAGGAGATAGCAGGGATATGAGGTGTTTGGTCACACTGAATCCACAGTAAGGAAGCAGAGACTAGACAAATGGGGCTAAGGACCCTCAAGGCCCACCTCCACTGACCCACTTCTTTTAGCTAGGCATCACCTCAAAGCCCACCCAGACCTGGGACAAAATGTTCAAAAACATGACTTTGTGGGAGATGTTGTAATTTAAGAAAAGCAGCAAGCAAGAAAAAGATGCCATGTGACAGGGTTCAGGCAGAAGGGGGCTTTTTTATTAGGGAAAGGGAACATAAAAAGAGAAAAGGGAAGGGGCGAGAGGAAAGAGGGGGAAGAGGAGGGAACTGATAAGGAGAAAGAGAGAAGATGGGAGGTGGGCATGGCCCTTTTAAAAGGGAACATAGTGAATATGCACAGGTGGTGTTCTTAGTGGCTGCAGCTGAGGGTGTATCCTGACAGGCCGGTACAGATGCCTGATACTAACAGGGGACATTTCACAACCAAGCCACATCATTTTGTCCCTGCTTCCATAAGCCCATGGCCATCTCATAATGCAAAATGCATGCAGTCCAAGAAGGAATGCATGCTTCCAACATTACTACCACAGAGTAAGTTTTCCCACTCCAAAAGAGAGGAATTGGACCATAACAAAGGAAGATCAGACCAAATCAAGATAAAAACCGAGCAGGGCAAATACCATTAGCCCTATACACAATGAAACCATCTGGGCTCTTAAGAGCTTGGGTATGCCTATCCCTACAGTTCTGCAGCCTGAAGCACACAGAGCCCCTCATAGGACAGTGTGACTCTGTGCAGACTCCTTCAGCAGACATCACATGTGGGTTCTGGTATCTCCAAAATCTTGAGGTCATCCAATGGCCTTGGTGCCTTTTAGAACCTTGACACAAACTTCCATGACCCCCTCACTCACATTTGCATCTTTAAAACTGGCACCATGTGGACAATGCTGTCATGTCTGCTGCCATCTTGAGACCACGGTTGCCCAGGCCCTGATTTCCCCACCAGGCTTACTTAACTCCTTTCAAATACATTTTCATTTTCCAGAATTGGAGCTCTTATTGGACGGGGTTCTGCCCTCAGGACAGCTTGGTTTGTTCCAGTGCAGAGCACTAGTTTTCTTCTTAAAGGGGCTGCCAATCCCTTTAACAACCAAGCTGCTTTTGTACCCACCTTATCTCCAATTTTAAAGTCATCCTTTTCCCAACCAAATGCCAAATCCCTCATGTTTTTTTGCTCTACGTGTGCTCTCTGGACAAGACCAGTGAACAGTAACTGCACCACCACACTTGAATGCTCTCCTATCTAAGAATTTCATCCAACAAACATTACAGTCCATTACTTTTACATTTAGGCTTATTTGAGTTCTTGGAACATGGGCCAAATGCAGAAAGAGTCTTCATTATAATATAGAGCAAACGGCCTTCAGTCCAGGTCCTAATGGAGTCCCTATTCTCCTCTATTGTCGCTATTTATCCTATCATTTTGGTCTTCTAGAATACTACCAAAATGGTCCATTAACATCTGCTTTCAGCATTCTATGGGCTCTCTTGCTCAATTTCCAAATTCCTCCATATTCTTCCTGCAAATCATTCCAAACACCCAAGGTCAGGCTTACCACAGCAGTGGACCTGCTCCCAAAACCTGTCTTCCATGTTATTTTTCATTGCTACAACCAAACAACCAACAAGAAGCAAAGGGGCTTTTAGATAGAAGGGGTGTGTGTGTGTGCATATACACACACCACACTCATACATACACACCATGGTGGCAGCTAGTCACACTGAGTCTGCAGTAAGGAAGCAGAGAGAAGATAGGAAGTGGACTCAGACTAAGAAACCTCAAGGCCCACTCCAGTGACCCACTTCATCCGACTAGACCCCTGCCTCAGGACCTCGCAGCAATGGGGACTGAGCGTTCAAACACACGAGTCTATGAGGGGCATTTCACTTTCAAGCCTAACAGGCATCATGGAGACTGGGCGGGCACTCTGTCACAGAGCCGCGGGGCCAGCTTCAGGCTTCATTTTGAGCAGAGACTGACACTAGCGAAAATCTCTCTTTTATTGGCATTTTCTTCTCAGTTCCTATTACTTTCCTACACGGAAGACTTTGTGTAGTCTCGCTGCCCTGGAGGTGGCTCTGGGATGTGCAGGGGCTCCGCCTGCGGTCAGGGGCAGTCTACTTCCTGCAGGAAGCCCCGACTTCCTAAGCGTCTTTCAGACATAGTAGAGACAATGGACAGGGGAAATTCTCCTTGGTGAGAGAAATGATCAAAGTTATACAAATGTAAATAAGCAAAGCACCAGATCACCCTGAAGGGGCCCTCCACAGTTGACATGTGGAAGATTCATGGTATTGCTGTTGCATGCCAGAGCGAACAGCCTTAAAAATCTGCAGTGACTGCTAAATACCACCTTCTGTTTGGAGAGAGGTTTGTTCAGCACCCTAAAAGTGATGCCAAGTCTTTCTCAGAACTTTCTGTGGGGCATGTGAGGGGTGGGGGGATCAGTCGGCTGCATTGTGCCTGGCCTTCCCTGGTACGGTGTACTGAGGGGCACTGGTGCACGATGCTGTCTTGGCTTTCAGAGATTGCCTCGGCTTGGTGGAAACCTCGGAGATCCTGTGGACACAAAGAGGATGGCTGAGTGTGGCCCCTTGGATCACCACAACTCCCATCAGCCTTTGCTGCTCTGCAGCAGCCTCAGGAGGCGAGAAAGAAACATGGCTCAGGGGCATTGACACCAGGTGTTTCTCCTCTTAATGCCTTGCAACCATCTTCCCTGAGCTGAGGCAGTCAGGTCTGAGGTAGGTAAGTCAGTGGCAGGTCGAGAGTGGAGAAGACTGTCAGGTTCTGGTGGGAGGCTTTGTTGGCCCACCTACGCTGCCCTAAAGGGGGATGGTACCCTTTGTGGCTGGCCTGTGCATCCAGTGAAGCCACCGCTGTCATTTTCTGATGGTGAACCTGACCCCATAGGCTCTCAGGGAATGCCTGCTCTGTGAATGGGAGCCCTCCCAGGTGGTGCTAAGCTTCTCTGCTGAGGAAAGACACAGGGCCAGTCTTCAAGCTACAGCCCCTAAGCGCCCCAACCCCATCCCATTCCCAAGCCCCAACCCCCACCCCCTGCCTCTTCAAGAGCTGAGGTAAGCTCAAGGCAGAGCTCTGGAGAGGCAAGGCCCTCCCTTTCTGGCAGGCGAGTAAACCTGAAGGGGCTGGTCTGTGTGAGGATGGAAACCAGAGTGTGTTTCAACATTCTTTCTAATTCTGGGTCAAGGAAGAAGTTTTAAGCTGGCTTCTCAGAGGATGTATCCTTACATTTAGCTCTATATGCTGTGGGAAGCCATTGAGACACCCACAGAACCTTCTAGCACCAGCACCCAGTTCCAACTAGTGGAGGGATATGATATTCAGAGACAGTGTAAGGGAAGCTGACTCACTTGGACAATGTGTCTACGGTCTGCTGGGTGGCCAGGGTCCTCTTGTCCTGCGATCCATACAAGAACGTCTCAATCTGAACACACTGCAGAACACCAAGGAATCATCATGAGGTTGTGGAAATGTCACAGGGAAATAAAGTCTCCTTTGAACTGGAGAAAGAATGCTTCATTCTTAGACCCAAGCTATGATGGAATCAGTGCCCTCTGGGGATTCCTCTAGGGACAGCCTGACCTTTAAGTTGGATGCTCTTAGGGATCCAGGACACAGTTGTACAGTGTGAACACTACTTTAGAACCCTCTGTGCAAGCATGTATTTAAAAGTAGTATTTTTTTTTTTTTAAGAAAGGCAAATACTCTTGCCTAATTTCCTTTTTTTTTTTTTTTTTTTTTTTTGCCTAAGTTTTGGCATTTTCTTGTTTTACCCAGTCAGGACAAAGTTGAAGAAGGAAAAAAAGAATAAAGAAATTCTAAAAGTGGCCAAAGTCAGTCTGAAGAATGAGAAGGAGGAATTTGCTTTGATGACCTTCTGTACAACTACAGTGATGAAGGCAGCACATCCTTCATCCTAGGGTGTCAAGTAGACCAATGGAGAAGGCAGGTACTCAGTAGCTAATGGATGATCCTTGCAGGGCCAGTGATGAAGAGGAGGGTTACTCAATAGATGGCATTAGGATCACACTTTCAAAACAGGAAAATCAATCCCGAAACATTTAAGGAGTTAAATGTGCAATGCAGAACTTGGAGGTTTCCTGTCTTGAGATAAGTTCTCGACAACAAACTGCTGGAGAACTGTAAGTGGCTGACCAAGAGCACTGCAGTGAGGTTTAACCATAAGAAAGAACAAGGAGTGTGTGTGTGTGTGTGTGTTTGTGTGTGTGTGTGTGTGTGTATGGGGTGTATGTATGTATGTAAGGTGTGTGTGTAGAGTGTCTGTGTATGTGTGTAGTGTGTATGTGTGTAGTGTGTGTATTGTGTGCGTGTATGTGTGTAGTGTGTGTGTATATGTGTGTTTGTAGTGTGTATGGTGTGTGTGTGGTGTGTGTGTGTGGTATGTGTATGGTGTGTATGTGAGGTGTGTGTGTATGTGTGTTTGTATGATGTGTGTGTGTATTTGTGTGTTTGTATGGTATGTGTGCAAGGTGTGTGTGTGGTATGTGTGTGTTTGTGTGTGTGGTGTGTGTGTTTGTGTGTGGTGTGTGTGTGTTTGTGTGTGGTGTGTGTGTGTTTGTGTGTGTGTTTGTGTGTGTGTTTGTGTGTGTGGTGTGTGTGTTTGTGTGGTGTGTATGTGTTTGTGTGGTGTGTGTGTTTGTGTGGTGTGTGTGTGGTGTGTGTGTGTTTGTGTGTGGTGTGTGTGTGTATTTGTGTGTGGTGTGTATTTGTGTGTGTGTGTTTGTGTGTGTGGTGTGTGTGTGTTTGTGTGGTGTGTGGTGTGTGTGTGTGTGTGGTGGTATCTACAGTGCATCTTCCAAAGAATTAGCGTTCAGAACACATAAAGAATGCCTAAGAGGTAAGGAGGAACAACAGCAACACCCTCCTGGTAGGAGAATGATCAAAAAACAGAGTTATTCAGGGTTGAAACTGGCCAACGAGCCAGCTCTGCCCCACTAATAACTGAAAATACAAACAAAAACTAAAGAGCACACTCTGTAAAAACAATGGAAAAACTCAGACTCCAGCACTATCGAGACGATGGCAAAGAAGAGTGACAGGAAGCATTATAAAGTTGTGTCCATAGATGGTGGGCATTTACGTTGGTATAAGCCTCTCCAGACACTTGTGCAATATTCAATAAAGTTTAAGTACGGGTTAAGTAAAGATGATATACCTGTTTGTTTGTTTTCTAATGAGAGACAGAAATTGAGTAATCCAGATGGGAGGGGAGTGGGAGGAACTGGGAGGAGTAGAGGGAGGGAAAACTGTAATCAGTATACATTATGAGAAAAGAAAATCTATTTTCGATAAAAAGAAAAAATAAAAGCCAATGTTATTTCTATACATGCAGTAAAAAGAACAAGTGTATACTAAAGTAGAAAAGCAAATTATAATTTAAGAAGTAAAAAACAAAAAAAGATTTGCAAATGAGTGCTTGACCACAGGGAGTTTTATGTGAAGCCGGAAAGGTGAAAAAGCAACCATAGGCGTGGGCACACTGTCAAGTGGGCAGTAGTTATCCGGGCACTGGAGAGGTCTGGAGGGCTTCACCTGTACGGCGTCTGTCGTTTCTTACTTTGACTCATGAGTGCAAAGGCATTTGTTTCACATCACAAACGCGTCCCTGCACATCTGAACTACCTCTTACTACATTTTAAAGACTGAAGTTTTCTCCCTGGCTAAAGCTGCATGAATCAGAAAGAAAGGAGTACAGACTTGGAGACATCATCCACTCCCATTTGGGGACCATTTTTAGGTGTTTAAGGAAATGAAGATGCACACAGCCCAAATGCTTTGTCTTTAGAGGCTGCAGAAGATCCCAGGGCCTGAGTGTGTGTTTCCATGTGAAGATAAGAGCATTGGACTCTGGTCTTTTGGAGGATAGAAATAACAGACATGAATATGATGGAATTTTATTCCCTGCTTCTTGGTTGAATGAACTACACAAAGAAGTATTAGTTCTTTCTCCTATTCCACTTAGTTCCCATCAAATTCTGCTCCAGGGATCTCAGCCCCTCTGTACAACATGCCCTGGTCTTTCTAAACCTGCATAGGGACTTCAGCCTGGCCTTGGCAATAGGTTTCTCTTTCCAGGACATTTCCAGGGTCACTTTAACCCATAGATACACCACATGACCTTACAACTTCGGGGACCTTGAGGAAGAGGGTGGGGGGGGGTGGATAGGACACACTTCTGACAGTTGTGATAACTCAGTAAAAACTCTTCCAGACCTCAGTGTGAGAGGCAGCACACAGACACCTAAGTGGGTCCCCCCCCTCGCTGACTACACACATCAGGGTGGAGAGGGCAGACACTGAAATATATAGACAGTGGATCCAAGGGGCAAGTGTTGGTCCCCTCCCCCTTGTTGGGCAGCCTGAGGTCTTTCTTAAGGTCTCATTCTTCCTACCAGAACCTGGTTTCTCTTTCTCCTTCAAGAGCAGGAAGGAAGGCCTGGGCTGGCTTTAAGAGAGCAGGTCTGATTTTAAAGGCACCCAGATGTATTTATAAGTGCTCCAAGGACACAGGCTGAAGGCAGAGCAGCTTGCTGCTGAGCTCAGTCACTGTAGCACTAGGATTTAACTGACAATGTAACAAGTCTTTGAGACAGCCTAGTGAGGTCTCAGTTCACTCTGCTGAACAGATGGCTTCTAGAAGCTCTACAACACGGCGGGATTTCCATCCTACCTCTTTGGTGATTGAAGGGTCTTCTCCCTGGCCCCTAATTCCCTAGGGAAGAGACAATCGGGTAAATAGTCACAAATTCCCAGGAAGGAGGAGAAGGTAAGGGATAAGATTCAGGCAAATTCCCCCAGGCTCTACTACGGGAGGGGTCCCTTCCTTCCAGATCTTCTGTTCAATCACTTTGTCTGGCAGCATTAAATTAGCCGGGAGAGTAGAGTTGGGAGAGGGGATGAGTTGGGACTCTATTCAACAAACAAGTCCTAGAGGCCCCTCCCCAAGATGCTTGTCTTGGTAGAAACCCCCACCCCAAGACTACTGTCCTCACAAAAGACTTCTGCTTGCAATTCTAGCTGATGAGATGCAAAGGGATGTCAAATAGGAGCCAGGGGTCACCACCTCAGCCCACCTTAGCCCCTACATAGTTGTATTGATGATTCCAGTACCCAAAGAGGCTGGACAGATACCTGGGAAGTAAAAGCTAGTCCATCTATATACACCAGCAGATATTTTTCCTATTTTTAACAGCCCAGGTTAACCTCAAAATCCCTATGTAGGGAAGGGTGACCTTAAAATGCTGATGTGACATAGCTCAATTAATAAGAGTACTTGCCTATCATGTATCAAGCCCTGGGTTCAATCCCCAGCATCATATGAACTGAGTGGAGTGGCACATCCCGGTAATCCCAACACTATAGGAGAATTAGAAATCAAGGTCATCCTTGGCTACAAACAAAGTTTGAGGTCAGTGTGGGCTACATGAGGCCATCTCAAAAAAAAAAAAAAATAGTAAAACTAATATATTAAGTAAATAACAAAACATGACAACACACTGCATTGAAAAAGAAATAAAAGCATTAATAAGAGTAAAGACTTTCTTTTTATTTAAAGTGAACCCATACTTTAATTTATAGCAGTATGATTTATATATTAAGTAACACAATAATAGAATGATTTGAAATAGTTTTAAGTAGAAGAAAAATGGGAAAGTTTCCAGGTTTTTCTTTATACTGTGTATTGTGAAGTCTATTGGTCTTAGTAATAAAAAGCCCTGAGTCAGATACAGAGCTTAATGCTTAAAGATCAGAGAAGCAGAGCAGTCAGCCACTGGTTTCTCAGACGGGGTGGATCCTGTCCCTAGGAGCCCTCAGACGGAATGCAATGAGTTCCTGTCTCCCCACCTTATAGCCTTCTCTTATCCCTTTCTGCTCCCACCTCCCAAGTACTGGGATTAAAGGTGTAAGTCACCACTATCTGGTTCTGTTTCTCTTTTAGACTGGATCAGTCTCACGTAGCCTAAGGTGGCCTTGAACTTCCAGAGATCCACCTGCCTCTACCTCCCGAGTGCTGCCATTAAAGGTGTGTGCCACCACTGCCTGGCCTCTGTGGCTAACTAGTGCCTAGCTCCCTACTCTGATCTTCAGGCAAGCTTTATTTGCTAAAGCACAAACAAAATATCACCACAATTCTGTTTTTATTTTCCAAATTTCTCCCAATTAGAACCTTTTAAAGATAAAACAACCTTTAAATTATCTGTCCTAATAGCATAGTGATATTTCATATTTAATGACATCAGCTGGTGAAAATCATCCTTTAAAACAAAAAAAGTTCTGAAAACAACTTTATAAATCTAAACTTAACCTTCTCCAGAGATGATGTCTGAAGACTGGAATGCCGAAGAGCCATTATTTCTCCCTCCCATCTGTCCATGCTGACATCAACAGGGGCAGGTTTATCAGCCTAATCCTTCACCCAAGCACTGATACTGCACCTCACAAGAGATTTATCTTCTATTAGAGTAGTTAACAGCTAACTACACCCTCACCCCCTCACCCCCCACTCACCACCCCCAACCCCTGTGCTCTTCCTGACAACACTGCCTTTACCCCAGGCTGGCTTTGAACTGGCTATGTAGCAGAGGATGACCTTAAACTTCTGATCCTCTTGTCTCTACCTCCTGAGTGCTGAGATCACAGGATGGGCCCCCATACCGTTTATGTGGTATTGGGGATGCTAGGCAAGTGTTCTATCAGCTGAGCTACGTCCCCATTGGTATTCTGAGAACTGTTGAGGAAGTTTAAAAAACAATGGCACCATAAAATACAGCAGTGATGACTGAGAGGTGATCCCATTGGGGTGATACCCAGGGGGCTGTGCACCAAAGGATGTTTTAAGAGAACAGAATAACCTATTACAGCGTCGACTAGAAGCTGTCTTAATAGCTGCATATTTATCTAAGGAAAACAAATTGAATTCTTCAATATTCTTCTTTGCTTAGCTGACTTTGCTTAAACGTGTGTGTGTGTGTGTGTGTGTGTGTGTGTGTGTGTGTGTGTATGTGTGTAATCAGTGTTTTGATTCTTTTGTTAAAAACAGACACTATGACAGAGTCAAAGTCAATAAATGTTAATTGAAGCCCTGGAGATGTCTGGCTGAGTCGTGGAAAGAGCCTTCAAGCTTTGGTGTTAGAGCATTCTCCACTGGAATAATGGTGCCCTGTGCTCTGTAGCAACAAGAGACTGATGAACTCGTCTTTAAACCAGCCACAAATGGCATTTCTCAAGTTTCTAAAGTAAACAATACGCTGGCATTGTAAGTGTCCAGGGGTCTAGGAAGCCATTGTGTTGCTATTATTTTCTAATGTATGTAGAGTCACAACCTGGCCTGTTTCTGGTCTTCCTTAAATATCAGAGAGCTTTTCTTCCCTGGCAAGAGCGGCAAGGAACAACTGCTTTTCCCATACCTGCAGCAGTCCTCAAAGGGGCCGTTTGTCTTGCTCGCACAGACCTATCCCAGTCTCTGGCATGTACGTAAACAAATGGGTGACTAAACAACTCAACAAGCAGGTGAGTTAGAGAAAATCCTTCCACGGAGCTCATGTGTGTGTATGCATGTAGGCATGCACATGTGGGTATGATTGAGGGTGTGCTCGAGCACATGTCAGTGAAGCCCGGGGGTGGATGTCACATGCCTTCCTCTACTGCTCTGCATCTCATATTTTTGAGACAGTGTCTAGCCTGGCTAGCCAGCAGGTCCCAAGGATATCCCTGTCTCTGAGTCCCTGGTGCTGGGATTACAGGTATGCACCACCACACCTAAATTTTTAGGTGGGTGCTGGGGATCTGAACTCAGGTCCTCATGCTTACAGAGCATGAGCCACCTCTCTGGTCCCTTATATGGCACTTTGAGGTGTGGTTGGTTCCAGTGACCTGCCAGGTGCTAAACCCTCCACTATGGAAGCTATAATGTGAGCAGCATTGGGAACCTTCAGACTTATTCTCCCGGTGAGTGTGGGGGTAGAAGATGCTTGCTGTTCACTATTTGATGTTTTTCCCAGGAGTGACTCAGGGAGCAAGGGAAGTTAAGAGATATCTTGAGCCTGGAAGTCAAGTTTTCTAAGTGGCTCAGGAAGCTGAGATGGAGCTACCAACCTGTGCCTTCCCAGCTGTGTCTCCTCTGTGCTTTTGAGCTAACATCCTTCTTGGTGAAGACAGGAGGTGGCTTACAGGCAGCTATGATGTAGGGTTAGCTGATCTACATGCTGGCTTTAAAAAACAAATCTCACATATGCAGACTCACAAGGAAATCTATGTGGGAGGGATCTCTGAAAACAGGCAGCTACAACCTAGGGGCATTCTTCTTCCTGAGGCACTGGTGCAGAAGTGGACTGGGGTATCTCTGTTGCCTCCCATCGTTCCTTGCCCTCTGGATGAGGGTCTGGGACTTACATCATTGTTTCCATTGGGGAGTTCAGATAGGGAAAATGCTAAAGGAACACAGCCTCTTCATTAACGGAGGTAGTACAGCCAGGGCTCTGGATAAGGAATCATTTAATCGACAAGTTACATGACTGACCCCGTGATAGAAAATTGAGGAAGACAAGCTCATCACTCATGGCAAGAGGCCAAGACAAACAAGCTTGTCATGCTATTAGCAGTATTTTCCTCATATGAGATGGAAAGCAAAGCTAGAGAAAGGGAAACATCGTAAACCACTCTAATGCTGAGGATCTATGACCACCGTCCTCCATCCTACATGCGTGCGGTACATGTTTGTGTGTGATCGAAGGGGGTGCACATGAGTGGAGGCCAAAGGTCAATGTTTTCAGTCTCTTCCTCAATCACTGTGCACTTAACTTTTTGAGATAGGTTCTCTCACTGAACCTGAAGCTCACAGGTTGTTTAGTTTGCTAGTCAGAGGCCGAAAGGAGCTTTCTGTCTTTGTGCCTTAAGGTTTCTGTTGCTGTGATAAAACACTGACTAAAAGCAACTTGGGGAGGAAAGGGTTTACTTCACTTCACAGTTTACATTGTTCAGGGAAGTCAGGGCAAGAACTCAAGGCAGGAACCTGGAAGCAGTAACTGATGCAGAGGCCGTGGAGGGGAGCTGCTTACTGGCTTGCTCACCATGGCTTGCTTAGCACCCAGCCTAGTAGTGGCCCCACCCATGGTGAGCTGTGCCCCCACCCATCAATTATCAATCAAGAAGGTACCACAGGTTTGCTCATGGGCCAATACAGTTGGGTCATTTTATCAATTGATGTTCCATCTCAAACTATCAGAGCACTGCCAGCACTCACCAGAACCAGGGCTACAGGCCTAACTAAGTCACCTGTAATTTTATACAGGTGGTGGGATCTGCCCTTGGGTCCTCACGCCTAAGCAGGTATTACTTTACTGGCTGAGTTAGCTTTCCAGGCTGGGCCCAAATCACTGCACTTTACACACATTATCTGATTCGAGGTTATTGCTTCTGTAGAGGACAAATGACTCAGAAACTCAGGAACTATGCCTCTGTTTTCATGTCAATAAAGTCTAATATATTAAGAGAAAAAAGATTTTAGAAACTAAATGCACAGATGTGAAGTGTCCTAAATGCTTAAAGATATATTGACATTTGTACATTTACTAACAGCTGCCTAGCAGGGAGAAAGATTACCTTGGGGAGTTGAAAGCATCCACTGAAATAGTTCAGCAGCCAGCACTATGGGGGCAGGGGTGGGCCCTGGTTTTCCTGCATCAGTCAGAAACCAGCCTTGTCCTGCCTGAA